CGTCTTCAGATGATATGTACGACCTAATTAATACGGTCGCTTTAATGCGGCGCTCTGTCTTTTACTATTGTTGTTGTTTATGTTAATAAAATGTTGTTAATTACGATCTGCCTAATTAATTAAGAACCTCGATGGACATCCTTTAGACAATAATAAGTAAGTTAAGCAACAATGCTAGTAAATGAACAGGTCAGAAAATGCAGCATTCTTAAAAGTTTCAAATTATTTTGGAGTACATTAGTCCTCTTCTGAAGTTGCATTTTTGACAGTGGACAATACAGCTTTATGGATTAGTACATTAGTCCTCTTCTGAAGCTGCATTTTTGACAGTGGACAATACAGCTTNCAGTGGACAATACAGCTTTATGGATTAGTACATTAGTCCTATTCTGAAGTAAATAGTGTGGTATTAAATTATATAAAGCTATTAACTTTTTATATTTTATTTAGTTACTTACTAATAACTTGTTATGGCCTTGTATAGAAACAACACCATCAATTATTAAATAATATAAAATAATTAAAACTCTGTTAGTACATAACAATAAATTTGAAGTTAAACAGAAATGTAATGAAAAATAAATGTTATACCTGTAAAGAATTTAAACTTTTTTCATCAGCAAAAACAGATAAAATCAACTGCACATATATAAATGGGTACACAATCATACTCAAAACAAAGACAGTTTCTGATGTAGGTTTTAAATCCTGTAACATACATACATGTATAAAGAAATTTATTAACATATCAATGAAAACAGTTACAATAACAACCTTGTCATAAAAAATAAAAGACGGAGAGAAAAAACTCAGTGAAAATTAATACGTTGAAAACATAAAAATTATCTTACTACATTATAATGCAATATATAGTTGAAATAACTTACTAAAACAAAATAGTTCAATATTGCAGATCTATGGAGAATTAAACTTATTAATGAGAAACACAACCAAAATATCGACAGCAAGTATGATGTAGTGACACCAGATGTTCTATGCCTCAATAAAATTACAGTAGTTGTAATCTGTAAAATGTAACAAATTTAATCAAAAATGCACTGAATAAAAATGCAATAATTAATAAATAAATAAAAATTCTTACAAATAAAATAACCCTTGAACATGATGATAATATAACAGAGTGAGGTACATTGAATGTTGTGACTTTCTGGCATATGACAATGCCACACCACATAATACTCAGTATTAGTAAACTTAGAGATAAAACCTAAAAAAATATAAACATATACGTGAGAATGTTTTTTTTTAAAAATTGTGATGAATTGAATTATAAAATATACATTCATAAATAACAAAAAACTTGTAGACTTCTTAAACCATTAGTCTTGATAGCCACACTCGTAACATCATACCTCATTTGTCATAGCGTGACTGTCAGATTTTCTTTATTTACTTTTTATAAGAATATGGTTAATAATGCATTTTTTCAACGGTAAGGAAACATTTTACATCAGTAATAAAAGTTATAGTGAAAATAAAATTTGTAAGTCACTTTTCAAAAAATCTGTGAATAATGATTTTAATTGGTGCTAATCTAACGTAATATTCATGT